CAAAAAATTCAGCAATTTTTCCATTTGTAAAGGGGCATAACTCTACAACGGTAAAAATGACGCCACCAAAATTCAAACTTGATCTGTGTTTTGTGGTAATAAGCATTGTGTATAAATTTCATCACATTTGGTTGAGGCAAACTAAAGTTAGAGAACGGAAACAACTTTGGGACGTACGGAGGTATGGACGTACAGACGGACAAGGGTAAAACTTAATGCCCCCTCCGCTACCGTAAGGCATAAAAATATTTTTAGGACAAGATTTTGGACAAGGTTTTACTATAATAGGGGTCAATATTCAAAGTCAAGGTGACCTGAATTTGGTATATGATACACACCAGTCCATGATGCAACTGCACACCTAGTTTGATTTACTGAAGTTTTACGGTTCAAAAGTTATGCACCAGACACAAAGTGGGACGTTCAGACAGACCAACAGATGAACAGGCAGGCAGACTTGTTTGTGGTTGACCAGAAGAGATGAACCCAAAACTAGGAACTTGATGCAATACACAGCCCTCTTCAAACAATCAAATGACAATGATTGAATTTTTTGACAAATTGCAAAAATAAGTCACCAATTAGTTAGATTAAGTAATTCCAAAAACCTGATGACAATTCAGGTGTTACCCGTTTCTTTTGTGTGGCCAAAGATAGAACGAAAATTTCTTGAAGATTTGATGCAATACTCTAGACTGTAACTAGGTTAACCCCAACGAAACACCATTAAAAAAAAGAAAAAAATCTCTCTTTTTATTCATCTGCTTTTTTTATTATTATTATTATGAAGAAGCTTCTGTCAAAGTCTCTTAAAACCCTAGAGTTCTATGAAGGTTTGACAAAATTTGATTTATGTAAAACTGCAAAAACAAACTATTAAAACATTAATGGGAAAATAAACTGTCCATTTACCAGTAAATTATCGGAAATGAAAACAAAAACTAATACAAATCAGATGGTATCTTCAAAATTGTGATTTGAGTGATGTCTTTTGATCTTGTAAAGATCTTTCAATTTTTTGGTAAAACCATTAAAATGAAAGTTTCACAAAATCAGTGATGTCACCCTTGCCCAGATGATAGAATTAAGATTTCATCAATTAAGAATAATGACCCAGAATTTCAATACCGAAAACCTTCATCATGAAAATTGCATGATATCACCTTTACTGGTGACAATTTTGAACAGTGAAACCTGGGAACAATTTCCAAAGTCCCATTAAATTTTCCTATTAATTAACGCTAATTCAAACTGAATAAACCAAACCCTGCTAATACCGTATTCCAAACACTTTTTGAATGCTCATTAGTGAATGTATATTAACAGATTACCTGTCTTAAATGATCGATTTTAATCAAAACAATGTAAATTATTTTGCATCAGTGACCAAACAAACACAGACAGGCAAAGGATCCCCAGTGCTATTTGAAGTTTAACTTAATGAGTTGTTTTTATAACCTAATTAGCTTGTAAATGTACATGAATAAATTGTTTAAATTGATAAAATGATAAAAATTTGAATAGCCTGGAAAAGGGAAAGCATGAGACTTTCTCTTTGCAGTTAGAATTTATAATAACAGATTCCGAGGCAGTTTCAAATTTTCACAAAACAATAAAATTTTAAAATATGGGAACGATACAAGCCACTGTATGTGATATTCTCAACCGCAAAGATATACAGGGTGCACATTTTTTTCATAATTAGGGGTTTCCTTTCGAAACCCAATGAAATGTAGAGAATCTCAAGAAAAATGTAGAGCTCTGATATCCAGGGGGCAAACAAATAATATGGTTTGTCTTACACATCTAACTTAAAATCATATTTTTCTAATCATAGAATTCATCTCTTGCTTTGATCAGTTGAATATTATACAAATTTAAAGAGTAAAAAGGTATGTAAGAATAAAACAAGAGTGCACACGCTGAAATGTCTCGCCTTCTTTACTAACCATTGATATTATGTTGATAGTCCTAAGTATAAAGCTTTACTACAACTATCACATACATATGTAAACTTTACATGATCCAAGAAAATGAGGCCAAGGTCATACAAACCATACGAGAAATACATGTACACTTTTTCTAGTTTCTGAGAAACAGACTAAACCAAGAAAACTAAACATTGACCAATGAACCATGAAAATGAGGTCAAGGTAAGATGAACAAAGCAAGGCAGAAATGTACAGCTTACAATCCTTCAATACAACAAATATAGTTGACCTATTGCTTATAGTTTAAGAAAAACAGACCAAAACACAAAAACTTAACACTGAGCAATGAATCGTGAAGATGAGGTCAAGGTCAAATAAAACCTGCGAGACTGACATGTACATCATAAAATATGTCCATACACCAAATATAGTTGACCTATTGCATATAGTATTAGAAAAAAGCCCAAAACTCAAAAACTTAACTTTGCCTACTGAACCATGAAAATGAGGTCAAGGTCAGATGACACCTGCCAGATAGACATGTACACCTTACAATCATTCCATACACCAAATATAGTAGACCTATTGCATACAGTATAAGAAAAACAGAACAAAACACAAAAACTTAAGTATAACCACTGAACCATGAAAATGAGTTCAAGGTCAGATGACACCTACCAGTTGCACATGTACACCTTACAATCCTTCCATACACCAAATATACTAGACCTATTGCTTATTGTATCTAAGATATGGACTTGACCACCAAAACTTAACCTTGTTCACTGATCCATGAAATTAGGTCGAGGTCAAGTGAAAACTGTCTGACGGGCATGAGGACCTTGAAAGGTACGCACATACCAAATATAGCTATCCTATTACTCATAATAAGAGAGAAATTAACATTACAAAAAATCTTAACTTTTTTTTCAAGTAGTCACTGAACCATGAAAATGAGGTCAAGGACATTGGACATGTGACAGACGGAAACTTCGTAACATAAGGCATCTATATATAAAGTATGAAGCATCCAGGTCTTCCGACTTCTAAAATATAAAGCTTTTAAGAAGTGAACTAACGCTGCCGCCACCGCCAAATCACTATCCCTATGTCGAGCTTTCTGCGACAGAAGTCTCAGGCTTGACAAAAAAAACAAGTGATCTGTGAGCTACTGCTAACTAATGATACCACTACTAAAAGTATAAGGTAAACAGGAAGTTGATTAGTGATGAATCTGAAAACGCATCACACGGTATAGCTGACTCATATAAACCTTGAAACCAAATTTCAGAAATCCTTGTTATGTAGTTCATGAGAAAGATGCAACGAAAAATATTCATGGGACAGACAGACAGAGGTAAAACAGTATACCCTCACCTTTTTAAAGCCGGGGTATAAATATTTGTTGCGCATATTCAGTTCTAATAATATATACAGATAAGCTATGTTAATTTTATGTCATAGATGTCCTGTAATTCTTGCATAATGATCTTAAATTTAAACAAAATTATCATATAAATATAAAAAAGAAGATGTGGTATGATTGTCAATGAGACAACTCTTCACAAGAGACCAAATGACACAGAAATTAACAACTATAGGTTATTGTATGGCCTCCAACAATGAGCAAAGACCATACCGCATAGTCAGCTATAAAAGGCTGTGAAATCACAAATGTAATATAATTCAAACAAGAAATCTAACAGCCTAATTAATGTACAAAAAAATGAACGAAAAACAAATATGTAACACATCAACTAATGACTAACACTGAATTACAGAATTACAGGCTCCTGACTTGGGACAGGCACATACATACAGAATGTGGCAGGGTTAAACATGTTAGCGGGATCCCAACCCTCCCCCTAACCTTGGACAGTGGTTTAACGGAACAACATAAGAAACTTGCTTACTTTTTAAGTCTGCAAATCCTTTAGTTAAAGACATTTTGATATATTTAAAACATTTTTATAAGCAATTTACCAGAATAACTACATTCTATCAAGATATTTATTCAAAGGCATAATGATATAACCTCAAAATATTTTATCACCTAAAACATAGCGCAGAAAAGTATTCCCACTAAATTTACACTTAAAGAGACACAACTCTTTATACAAATGTTTCTCAGCATTATAAAATAAGGGTATTTTAACAGTTTTTTTAGTCTTGGCTTAAGAATTTATTTGTGGACTCAAAGGATCAAATATGAAGTTTGTTTATTTAAATATCAAACTCAAGAAAATTAAATGAAAGAAATATTACAATATATTTTACAAAATCATTGGGTAACTGTTTTTATAAAGCAAATATAAGAATATTTTCCAGTAGAAATTTATGGAAAACTGAAATTATATATCAAACCAAAGGTAAAAAAAAATATGGCATAAATTAAAACAAAAATTATAAAAATATAACACCTGGTCAAACTTCTAGATAGAAAGGGTACAGATATGACTTTTCCTGGTAGTAATGATTTAACTATCTAGCAGCGAAAACATTTAATAACTACTGTTAATGTCATTTTGTCTTAAACTTTTTGTGATGTATCTTTGTCCATTTAATGGAGATACCATTAACATGAAATTAAGAAGACATTTTACTGTTACTGCTGTTGAAGGAAATATTTATCTTAAATCGTCACACATATTACATGAAACACATAAAAAAAATCAATTATTCAAAATACATTATTTGCAATATAATTCAGATGTGTGCACAAGTCCCTATTTACTTTTGTAAATTGTAGATAACTATTTTGACTAAATACTTCAGTAATACTAAAATGTTGAGTCACGTAGAGATTTACAAATCCCTCATTCAAATAACTTATTGGTACCTGTTTGGTAGTTTTAAATTTCACATTCAATGTCCACTACCAAATTATCTTTGAGTAACACAATAGTAGCCCAATTAAAAAAAAATTCCTTATCCGCAAAAAATTATTATTACATTAATTGAAATATGTATATTTAGCAACAATGTATTATCAATCACGTATATCCATTCCATAATATTTTGAAAGAAAACTAACGCTTTAGAGTGGCATGTAATGAAAAATAAGAGATATTTATCTTCACATCTTTAATTAGCTAAAATAAACAGAAAGTTTGAAACAATTTGCAAAGTTTATTTCAGAGCAGCATTTTAAAAATTGAGTATCATGGAACTAACTCTATTACATATATGAACACATTTACATATTGCAAGTTCTGCTCAATCTGTGAGGCATTATAAAACATAAACAAATCATCAAACATTAGCAAAATCATATCAATAAGATGTATAGTCCTCAAAAAAATATGCACAAATTTTATGTCATTTGAATATTATTCAATATCTAACAGCCATACATGCTATTGTTCAAATAATGTAAGAAAAAGAAGTCCCGTCTCATTTCAGCTTTTTGCTTGTAATGTGCAACTTTTATATGCCACTAGAAGAGAAGAATGTGCTGACCCTCCTAAACACCTGAATTTACCTCAGTTTTTGGTTGGATTTCTGTTGGTCAATCTTTACTAAGGCTTCAGATTTTTGCTTGTAGTGAGTGACTGACACGTGCCACTAGTGGAGTAAAATGTACTGGATTACCCCATTTTGGCAGAATTTGTGTTGCTTAGACTTAAACTATTTTGTAGTCTATTGTTTTTATGCCTTTTTATTGTCATGGTTGTCTGAATTTCTTTGATTAATAATTTGATTGGCTCTTAGTACCTTTTTCTCCTTTTGATCTTTTAAATATTGTGTTTAGTGCTTAGTAAATCGATATTTTTTTATATCTTGTAAAATGGATTTGTTAATTCTTTTTATTTATGAGTTTGGTATTTTCCTTATATAATAAATGGCAATTTCATTCATTCTGACAACAGATTATACTTATTTCTAAAATAGTATACATATAAGTATATAAAGTTAAAACATTCAATTCACAATAAAACATACAATCATCTAATGCATAAAAAAAATGTATCACAGACAAGAGCTTACAAATCTAGATAAGTAAAAAACTTTGAATAATACACAGTCATGTTAAAAACACATTTATCAGGTCAATGAACATTTCAGAATTAGGAATATAGAATAGAGAATGAAATGGGGAATGTGACAAAGAGACAACAACCTGACCAAACAGCAGAAAAAAAAACCCTTCTTATATGCTGCAGAAATATTCCATGTAAATCAACACAAATAAAAACTATTTTATCAAACTCCATTTACATTAAAAGGGAAACCAAATATAGAACTACTTTAAAAAAAAAATAAAGGGATATTTTAGTACACATAATCAAAACAGCAACCTTACAACACAAAACATCTCAACTTTTCTTTTCATTGTATGTGTGCTGTTAGAGCTCTGTTTTTCATTTTTAATCCATCCAAAATAAGGACAGAAATGTGGATTCATTTATTTTCTTGGGTACCAATTTTCATGGATTGAGAAAAACTTGATTTTTCATGGATATTTGATTGAGTTGTTTTGTCGATGTCTGCTTACAAACTTAAAGAAATGTTTAATTCATTGAACATTTAAATTTGTGGTTTATTTCTACCCACAAAATACACGAAAATTGGTACCCCATGAATAATAATGAAACTACAGTATGCAAAATGATCCTTTATCTCATACTGAGTCCAGAATGAGATAACTGGAAATACTACAACAAGACTTATAAAAATACAACTAAAACTTGAACATCAAGTAAACTTGCACTCTTGTTCAGTGGGTAAGATTATCTATTGTCTGTAAAGGGCTAGTCCATTAAAAACAATATAGGAGGGTAGGTAGAAACTTCAGAAATACTCAACAAACTAAGATAATTCTTTGAGTAATTTGACAAGCATTCGATCCATCATGGCCATAAGTACAAATCACCAAAGACCTTTATCTAAAAAAGAATTTTCTTCCTTCCCTCCCTCTGAATTTACTTTAAATGGAATAGCCTAATTGATTGACAGGTGTTTGACTAAGCCATATAAACAAACCAGAACATTTTTAAATCTTAAATGACCAAAGAATGTGTTCCAACTGAAGTGGAATAATAGGCCAAAAATACAATCAAATGCAAAGTACAATCTATCAATGGCATTTTCAAACATTGTGTATTTGATTTTGTAGACTATAGACTAGTAACCTGAGTAAAACGAGTCATTTCTATCAATATTTAAAATAAAATGTCTTCTTTAATTAAAAAAAATAAAACTTTGAATATATGTAATTTAATTAGTAATAAATGTTCTTTTTTCTTTTGTTCCTTTTTATAGCAACTCTATTTATAAAAAAAAAAAAAAACTTTTAAAACTAAAATAAATTGCTTCCAGCACAATAATCTGAAATATTGCCCTTTGGAGCAGGTGGGGGCAGAGATGGTGAAAAGAAATATAACATTACATAATACAATAGAATGAGTATTAGAAATGAAATTTGTACTATAAACATCATTTTAACAGTTTGTTCCAACTTTCTGTTACTTTCCATTAATTGGTCCATCTGAAATAATAAAAAATGTGTATATAAAAAAAAACCATCTTTGAGACAGCAACCAAACCACCCAACAAGATCAAACAAAACATCTTGTGATCAACAAACCTACTTCCACACAACAAACTTATATCAGACTCTTTTTTTTAAATACCTGAAAACCAAAACTTTTTTTAATTTCATATGTCTGAAGTGCTTTTTCTTCATTTACCCTCATCAAGAAAGCTCAAAACCCAATATTTGAAAGTCAAGAATGTATAAGAACCAAAAGCAGTTCAAGAGCTAGATGACCAAAAAGGATTGAATTGGAAAATTCTGAAATCATCACCAGATGTGTAATTGCCTAGTTTTCCAAACTTTGAAAAGCCACATAAAAAAATGTTAACTAATGCATTATATTTGACAAAGGAAATTAATTCTGAAGAGTATAGAGCACATGCATGCCACTCTGTATTACTGAAATACACATAAAATGCATTGAATATAAATTAAGTAAATTACTTCAAATGATTCTGTTCAAATAATTACAATTGATTCTAAATGACTGCTAAATACAAGCTTGATCAACACATTCATAATCATTGATACTAACTCTCGATAAGATATCATTAAATTCAAACTCTAAAATCAGGCCATTAGTTTTCTCTTTTGAATAGTTTTCCATTTTTTTATTTTGGGGTCTTATATCATACACTATTGGGTATGGGATTTGCTCATTGCTGAAGGCTTTACAGTGACCTATAGTTGTTAACTACTACATCATTTGGTCTCCGGAGGAGAGTTGGCTCATTGCCAATCATAACACATCTTTTTATTTTTATAATCACATTTATTTGAACGTCAAAGACTTTCTTTCAATCTATTTGATTCCTTTTGAAAACAATTACTCCATAATCCTTCTTGAAGGTAGTACAAAATACAATGACCTAAAACCAATTTAAGTTTTTTACTTAAACCTTACCTTCGTATTAAGCTTGTCTATTTGGTCTAGTGAAGAAGCACTTGAAGCGATACTGTCCTGTGATCCATTCTTGTGTACTTGGCTACATTTCAATCTGCAACGAAAGACATCATAATTGTAAAAAGCCATACATATAGATTTGAAGCTGTTCCATTAAAACTTACATGGTATTTTGAAAATGGGGTAGCCCCCTATAGAGACAATTTTACAATATCACTTAAAATTTTCTCATCACAAAAAAAAAAGTATGAGAAACCAACCCTTAGTTAAGACTTGGTTGGGGTTTTCTCTGGATACTCCAGCCTCATTTACCAATAAAAACTTGCCACTATGATATAGCAAAGAGACCTTGAAAATGGTGTTAAACATCAGCAATCAATAATCAATCGATCAAGGTTAAATTTGACGTATGCAATGATCACATTGTATAGTAGTAATACAAGAAAGACAACTCAAATTTAAATAAATTACTAAAAAGAAGACACTGTTAGGACTTTTAATGTACTCAATTTTGTTTGATTTAAAAAAAAAAAATTGCTTAAAATAAATCAGTAGAAAAACAATTTTGCTTTGCAAGTTGCAACAGTATTTCTCTCTGAAAAGCAAAAATATGATTTAGGGTTGGCTGTTATACATAGAGGCAGGAAATAAACATATCAGATCTGAGTAAGTTAAACTCTGCCAAATTCTTTATGTGCCTGTCTCAAGTCAGGAGCCTGTAGTTCAGTGGTTGTCGTTGGTTCCTGTCTGTCATATTTGTTTTTCGTAAATTGTTTTGTTATAAATTAGGCCATTAGTTTTTTCAATTGAATTCTTTCATATTTTTTTTATGTCAGGGCCTTTTATAGCCTACTATACGCTATGGGTTTTTCTCATTGTTGAAGGCCATACATTTCCTATAATTGCTTACATCCACTTCATTTGAACTTTGGTGGATAGTTGTCTCATAGGCAATTACACCAAATCTCCTTAATTTTATATATTTTGTTTGGCCTAAGCACACAAAACTGAGGATTATTACTTTAAAGAATAGAGTCAACCATATCTGGATTTTCTGATAGGCTTCTATATAGGATACTGTGGATTCATTAATATTTGTTGGATACCAATTTTCATGGATTTCTAGGGTACAGGGGAACCACGAATTTAAGTTTCAATGAATTAAAAATTTTCTAAAGGAATGTATGAAGACTTTGCAAAAAAACCACGAAATTAAATATCAACGAATACACAAGTTTTCCTCAAACCACGAAAATTGGTACCCACGAAAACGATTTTCTGATAGGCTTCTATATAGGATACTGTCTATATTCAAGATCAAGTGATATATTTCTAAGGTTATAACATACCTATGTTCCATAATATTTTCTCTGGGAACTGTTTTCCAAAGCTGTTGTAAATTGTCAGCAGAATCACTAGTCAACTCCATAGCCATGATAAGGAACTTGTCTTTTGATACTGTGTTATAACCTGACCAATACAAATAGAAAATACATTTTATAAACATATAATATTATTTTGATTCAGTCTTCAATTATATTCAAAATCTTCATTATAGCGTTCGATTCTGCTTTATCCAAGGTCATCTTTCAGTTTTCTTCTCCAACTCACTTGATGCTGGATTGCTTTCAAAATGTCTATGGTTGCATGGGTCTGATACCTGTTAGTATATATGTAGCAGTACTTACTACTAAAAAATTTCATGCTTGAGTATTCTGCAATTAATAAATCTGTCATATCTTTACCACAAGGTAGCAAACAGAATCCTATGCTAGGACAGGAATTCTTCCAAAGAAAAATACTGATGTTGGAAAAATATTTTTTAATTCATTGAAAATTGCTTGCTTGATGTCTACTGAAAAATGCTTCATGCATACTCAGGACAAACATAAATACAGTCGATTTTCATAATATAGAAGTCAGCCAGAACAGGGAAATATTTCGAGATACCTGTAGTTCGACTCAAAGGAAAACTTTAAGTTTGACAGTCCAAGGGACACGACTCTTGCTTGGCTTGGTAACACTAAAAAAATCCTGATGAATATGGGTAGGGGATCAATATTCTTTGTAGTTACAATTTTTTACTGTGGTTTTTAGCCAAGAGAGTAATTCTGGTATACTCATCAGGAGTCGAATTATATATATTCATATGGAACAAAGTTTGTGGACCACGAGAAAACTTCAACTCATCCGAAATTTCTAGTCAATCAAGTTCAAAACAACGAGAGTTAACTGTATTTAGCTTTTCTGTAGATAAAAGTGAACACTCTGATGTAAAACAAACATTTTTACATTGTATCATAGATCAAATTCATTTGTTCAGTGTATGTTCACTGATGTTAATATGTCTTTTGATTGAGTTAAGCCATTTTAATTGATATTTTATAGTGTGTCTTTCTATGTTGTGATGTTACACTATTGTTTCAGATAAGGGTGAAGGTTTGGTACCATTAAAACGTTTAAACCCGCTGCAATTGTTTGCACCTGTCCTAAGTCAGGAATCTGATGTTCAGTAGTTGTCGTTTGTTGATGTGGTTCATAAGTGTTTCTCGTTTCTCGTTTTTTATATAGATTAGACCGTTGGTTTTCCCGTTTGAATGGTTTTACGCTAGTAATTTTTGGGGCCCTTTATAGCTTGCTGTTCGGTGTGAGCCAAGGCTCCGTGTTGAAGACACTTTGACCTATAATGGTTTACTTTTATAAATTTTGACTTGGATGGAGAGTTGTCTCATTGGCACTCATACCACATCTTCTTATATCTATGGATATATTTACTTAAAAAAAAATTGAAATGCTCTTCTTATTCAAGTTTTTATTCTCCTCATTAAATTAGTTTAACAGGCAGCATATGGGTCAATATCCCTTATAATTTCTCATACTGACTAACATTATTATAATTTGTAAACAAACAATTGTACAATCATGATGGAAATGGCTTTAAAATAAAGATGCAAAACTTTGTAATTATTTAATTTGTGCAAAGAAATGGATTTATATTGAATTTCATGGTATGGATATACTTTTTTGCTGTTTTTTAATTTTGGTTGTCAAAGAAACCTTTAAAGAAAGTTTAAGATACTATAATGACCCAGATTTTCTTGGCATGTCAAAATGTCTCAACTTTCATAGGAGCCTTCATACTTATCCATGTTAAAAATGTGGACAAAACAAATGAAGAAAATGTTTATATTACCACCTTCTTGAAATGAACAGAACATAATGACTAGCTGCGGAACAATAGCTCATAGGTCATAATGATATTTTTTGACAATTTGCAGAAAACATAATAAGGACAATAAGAGTTACGGTTCAGCAGCTAAAACTGACTCTGATTAAACATGAACAGTTTTATACCTTGCTGTAGATACACATGAACATCAACAGTTGAACCAGCCTTGACAATTCCAGCACTTGGTCTAACTCTGTATTTCTCTGGAGAGGTGGTTTTTACCTGTAAATTAGAAAATGTGTGTAACAGAACTATGTTACATGAACAACAGAAGATTTGTTGGCTACAATAACCATTGTGGTTTTTTCACAAAATAAAAATTAATTAGTCTTCCGATGAAGATGTGTGTTACCTGAAGTCTCCAAATCATATAAATAGTTGTCCATGATTTGGTATGGAAAAACCCATTAAATTATTCAGTTCAAAATTTAAAATAGTATGTGCCAAACTTAATGACTTGTATAAGAATCTGTACAAGCTTGATGTAATTTTATATGTTTTCAAAGAGTTCAGGATTAACAAGTGTGAAAGGGACAATATCATACACTGCTGGACATGTACACTGCTAGGGGATATAAAGAATAAAATTGCTGGTCAGTGCTTGTCTTCTATCATATCCCAGTTTCTTCTTGTCTTTCAAAATTTTTAGTGTTGTGGTCAAATCTTTGGTGGTCTCTGATATTTTATCATTTTGACACTATTTGCTAGACTTGCAGAACTTAAAGTATGACATTTGGTACCATAAAGACATTGTTGATTCTATAGATGAAATTTGTATGTTATTCTCTAGATTTGTATTGTGTGTAGTTATTGTCTCACTCATATATACCCCATACCTCTCTTACCATAAATAAAATAGGAAATACATTTATGTTCATGATTAGTTTTCAGTCGTGCTAATAATAAAATAAACATCAAGTATGCATTCTTCTATTAATCTCATTTTCTAACTTAAAAACTGCATTCAAAACACTTTTTTAATCATAATAACATAAAGAATTTGAAATATAGCAAAAATATTTAATTTTCCTGTAGTCAACCAAGAATTCAATTAGCATATAAATGTGAAAACTTCAGCAATTTCTGGTTTGACTTTTATTCAAAGTTTGTAACAACTCATTCATTCAACTAGTACACATTTTGTTTCGGGGCCAGCTGAAGCGGGCCTCCAGGTGCAGGATTTTCTCGCTTTGTTGAAGACTCATTGGTGGCCTTCGGCTGTTTTCTGCTCTTTGGTTGGGTTGTTGTCTCTTTGACACATTCCCCATTTCCATTCTCAATTTTATTTGATATTACTAGAAAGCAATAAGCTTCATGACAGAATACAGATGATCACATCATGCTAGTGTGTTTTTTTATCAACTTTTTCTTTTAAAGCTGTGCTCACTTTGACCAACCATTATACTTGAACTAATATCTATTCAGACATATATATATGTGTGTCCGAAGTTAAGAACCTGCATTTCAGTGGTTGTCGTTTATAGCTGTAGATCATATTTGTTTTTCGTTTGTTGACAGTACATAAATCAGGCTGTTGCTTTTCTCAATTGAATTGTTTTACATTTTATCTTGTCAGGGCCTTGTATAGCTTGCTATGTGGTATGGGTTTTGCTCATTGTTGAAGGCCCAATGGTAGCCTGTAGTTGCTAACATCTACATCAACTGGTCTCTGGTGGATAGTCATCTTATTAGCAATCATACCACATCTCTTTATTTTATACATTACCTTGTATGCTATTGCATATGGGAGAGTATTTTTCAGTGAAATAACATCAAAGGTTTCTTTTCCTGTTTCATCTGTTGTGAATAATAATTCATCACCAGGGCTACAAACATATAATTAGAGAATTACCAACTCCGTTAACTACACCACTACAGTTCAAGTCGTTTCGTAAATTTTGTTTGTCCATTAAGAAGGTGGATGCATAGTGCACAAAATGTCTAGATGGCTACTACTGTAAATTCATAAATTAATGCATGCATTTATCATCATTGCGAAATCCTTGACCACTGGCAAAAATGTAATAAAATCTATATAATGTGATTGCAAAAATTTGATGAATGAAAATCACAACTGAAATTATTAATGCAAGTTTTTATTAATGCCAATCTGATACTGTCACATTTTGCACATTCATAAAAACATCGCAATAATTTCTGAATTTACAGTATTCATGTAAAAAGGCTCAAATTTTAATTTCAGGCTGATAAATAATGTTATACTTGTAAAAAAAAGAAAATAATATTGACAAAACCAAACTACTTAAGAGAGTATTTTGAAATAAATGGTATTTCTTGTAGCAACTCTTAGAAAGATTTGTAATCAATGCACTTTTTGGTAGTCTTTGTATATTTACACACAACAACTCTAGACTAGGCCAAAATAATTGTGTGTTTCCTATTTCACCTTCAAAAAATTTAGGTAGGGTAGGTAGGTAAAACTAAATGACTTTTGGTCCAAAGAAGCATAGGTACAAGACGAGATTTTGTTAATATATGTATATATACTGAATACACTCTTCATTATATATACAAATATTTACAAAAATCTCGCTTGCACCTGTTCAAAGAAGATGAGCAAAATGCTTCAACTTCATATTTTTTCGTCTATATGTCCATCATGATGTTCTTCAAAAACATTTATCATATCACAATTATCCGGAATCGATGTCATTATATTTTGCGTCAATGTGATCACATTTCACATATTTGACAGCTAATACGCTACACGGTTGCCGAAAAGCCATGCTTGTTTATTTAAAATTTTGGTCCTTGAAACGCTTTACTTATCCATATTGGTTGTTATTATCAAACGTTTTGAAATCTATAGTATTCTAAACGAATAATCTTATCCTGACAGATGGAAATTTCCTGATTTTGAATTTTTATTTTTATTTTTGTCAATAAAATGTTTAGGGTCTGCGTTGGAAACGGAGGTATGGTCGGGAAACCAGAAACACACCCATTATTTATTTTGGCCCTAGGGGGTATTTGAAGCTTAGCAAAATATAAAAAATATGCCTACTGTTCAAGACTGTTCATTACACATTTGCAATATTTTTTATGTTGTTAAGTTGCTGTCTCATTCATGTAATCCTTACATATTCTATGACTCATATTTCTACTCAAAACAAATTCTACTTACCTTATAGTTAACAGTCTACCAATAAAACTATTGTCTTCAGTTCTTCTTTGGTGGGGACTTTTAAAACTGGATTTATTTGGACTAGATTGCTGCATAAAAAAATATATATACTATAGACATTACAAACAGTATTTCTATAAATAAATGGCAAAATAATATCATTATTTTCATTTTTTTGTACTAAAATCAACATCACTTTGAAAGGATAAAACAATATTTCTTTATCTATTTCAATGTCCCATATTTCTCCTATACCTCAAGAGTACTGACTTTTTGAAAATAAATAACAACTCTGGCAAATTGTATAAGTTGTGTATTCAATCAATACCAAAAAACAAAATGCAAAATTTACACTTAATCACAGGTAACATAATAAAAAAATTAGGAAAAAAATTTGAAAAGGAACACTTACACATTTCAAAATATTTGTTGAACATTTGTTTAACAATATGCGAACAAATAACGGTCAACAAAACAAGCAAGCACAAATCAAATTAATTTTAAACAACTGAAGTCATTTTCAACTGTAAATCTTGTTGCAGAAAATCAAATATTTTTTAAATAATTAGGAATCAAATAAGTAATTTCATATAAAAAAAAGTTTTCATCTATAAAAGCAGTAGTTGTGCCAAAATGTTAAAAGTAATCAAATCATTTCCAACATAAGTATGAAAGTGTTTATTTATCTTGAAGATACATATTGTCATTTTTGAAGGGAGGAACAAGAAAAAGAAAATTGTGAAAATTCTGGAATTGGCACTTCCTTTTGTGTATCATAATTGCAAAAGCTCATCTAGTCATGAAGACATAAGACAATCATGCCTATTGATTATATTAAAAAATCCTTATTTTTCATTGTTTTTTTATATCAATAATAGTAGCTTTTTTATATTTAGAATGCTCAAAAACAGATTAATAACAAACAGTTACCGTTATCTTCAAAGTTATCTGAAACAAAATAATTTGTAATAAGAGAAAAAGTTAAATGCAAAGAGCTGTTCTAAAATTGATTGTGAGAGGGAGATGGGAAGCACTCAAGTTAACAAATTGTGGGTGTTTGCTTTCATCTCAGAATTTTGAACCCTACAAGATATTGTACTTTTTTAAGTTGTATTGTTATGAGGGCTGTAGAGTTTACAGGAGTTATAAAAATAAGAAATGTGGTATGATTGGCAATGAGACAACTCTCCACAAGAGACCAAATGACATAGAAACTAACAACTATAGGTCACAGTATGGCCTTCAACAGTGAGTAAACCCATACTGTATAGTCAGCTATACTGCATAGTCAGTATTTATGTTCCTTTCTCTTATTCCAACCTTTCTGTCCCTTTGGTTCATATATCTCTTAACCTTTTCAGCTATGTATGCATCACTGGCTTTCATGTTTGGGTTTGAGCTGGTGAAGATAAATCCAGAAAAGTGCCTTGGATGCACAAAATTTAAAACTGATTTTTTTACGTACCATTATAAAAACAGGAAAACTGGTTTTAAAATGCCCATGTACTTATTGTCTCTTTTTTAATATTTCTTTCAATTTGGTTCAACCAATTAAAAAACGTCTTTTCTCTATTTAACAAACCTGCTTGGTTGGTGCAGAATTATTAAGATTATCTGGGAATGGTTCTACAGGTGATTTATCTTGATCAGCAAACGTAACCTGACAAAAAAAAAGAAAACCATGTAAAAAATTAACAGAGTGTTAAATCCTTCCATTCGGGGATTCACTTTTAACTAAGACATCTGATAGTTCCTGGTAACTAAAAGTGTAGGCTTTTTTTTTTTATCTGGGCACTGCATAAGATCCTTTTTATGATGTTATGGTATGAAATCTACTATAAAGTAAAGCTACAAACTTTAGTGTAGGATGGCATGATTTAATATTATCAGGTCAAAAATAATATGTGCTTGCCTTCAGTAAATGTAAACCCTCATTAATAAGGCACTGCTTGAACTTATATTTTTGTTATACTGTGGTTTCATTGTAATTCGTTGGATACCAAATTTCGTGGATTTCATGGGTACAGGTGAACCATGAAATTAAATGTTCAACGAATGACAAGTTTTCTATAGGCTTGTATGCAGAGTTCGGCAAAACCATGAAATTAAATATCCAGGGACATGTGTAACTTTTCCTTAATCCACAAAAATTGGTACCCACGAAAAATATATAAATCCGCAGTATATAATAGTTACTGAAGAGGTGATAACTTTTCCTGTACTATTTTTTCTGAATTGGTCTTTTCATATACCTTATTTTGTTATGTCACTGCTCTAGAGCAAGGCTTCCAAAACAGTCATATATTCCGGACATTTGTATAATGTCCGGTAAAAGTCCGGCTGGGCAAAGCACGAAACGGTCATCTACTTTTTAGATTTCAAGGCTTTCTTAAGACCCAACCTTTTGCCTTTAACAAACACATTTCCGGTCATAAAAGTGACATGATCATTAAGTTCTATCAAAACAACCCCTACTTTAATACCTTCTCATTTTTATCAAGGCTAATTAGTTGTCGAACAGCTGAAATTTACCTGTTCAGGTGACAGGTAAACTATTTTGAACCGGACATTGATCGGTCTATTCAAAGTTATTTTCTTACATTTCACCGGTTTGCATCTAATTAATTTAGTCAAAAAGATTTAAATTATCAGAAATACATTTATAAATAAGATTTGATGAAAAAATTAAAGAGGTGAAAATGAAAAATCGTCATAACCACGTTGTTTGAACCAGAGACATATCTCTGTTTGAACTAGTACACGTGTGCGCATGTGCATGTGCGCAGGTGTGAAATTTAATTATGCATCCGAATTTCTTAAAAAAAGTGCTTAAATTGTCATTGATACCTTTATCTCACGTTTATTTCGAATATTTTCTTGAAGAAAAAACGTAGAATGAGCTACTTACACTCATTCCTGCTTTGCAAACATACACGGAATTTACGTATCCGTCTCTGGTCCATGTTTTACCATTGTCAAGATAACATCCGGTTTCAGATTTAAAAACGAAAGTAAAGTTTTTGACAACGTTATGTTGCACAAATAAAGAGTCTAAGGCTGATATAAGTACGCTGATGTTGCACACTTCGGATGATGCACTGCCGATTTAACAGTTTACGTCAGAACTTCGAATTTGAATCAAAGAAAGTTTAATGTCTTTTTTTTAAATATCAATCATTGGGATGGCCAACTCGGCAACTGATTACCATAATTGCCTTTTGTTTAATTTAGTCTTAAGGGATTAAAATCGGGATAATATATAAAATGTCCGGCTGGCTAAAAATAATTTTGGAAGCCCTGCTCTAGAGTAAACAAATTAGTTCTGAAAAAATAAGTAAAACCAGGTCAGATATTCATGTGATGACCACAAGGGAGGAAATTATAAGAGGTTGTCTATTTGTATAAATCATGATTTTGTTATTTGGTGCATGTTGATTGTCTCAGTTCCATTTTTAAACAACTTTTTGAAAGATTTTGAATAATTTAAAGATTGATATTGTATAAAAATTCATCTATTGATGGTAACAGCATGTTGACTTCTAGATGCCTTTGTCTTGTTTGGTTGCTGTCTCATTCATTAAACTATAATAATTCAGTACTAGTGTAACTGATCATTAATTGCAAACAAGTGCAACATTAAAGATCTGTAAGGGTCAATACGACCCCATGGAGCTGCATTTGGGGGTTCAATTGAAATTTTTAGGGGTCACACTATTAAAAATATTTCACTGGACCATTGATTACAGGGTTTAAAGCATACCTGCATATTGAAAAAGAGAAAATAAGTACATGGGCAGTTTAAAACCAATTTTCCAGTTTTTGTTATGGTACAAATAAATCAATCTAAAAATGTTGTGCATCCTAAGCACATGTTTTTCTATAGTTAACAAACACAGAATATTTATGAAAAACAAAAAAAAATATAATCATTTCAATAACATAATACTTTTAAACAGGCTTATCAAGAGATCTCATTTGTTGGAAATTTTGTATATTATAAATACATATATGATTCATTGGTATGTATTTTTTGTTTCCTAATCTTAAAAAATGATCATGATGGACTTTATTAATGGTGAAATAAATGGAGAATGTGTCCATGGGACACAGATGAAGCCCCCACTTGCAAATAACGTTATAAAAGAACATAACTAGAGAACTGTAAAAGTGATGCCACCCAAACTTGATCTGTGTTTTATGGTAACAAGCATTGTGTATAAATTTCATAACATTTGGTTGAGGCATACTTAAGTTAGAGAACTGTAATGAAAAATTCAGCAATTTTTCCATTTATAAAGGGGCATAATTCAGGAACGGTAAAAGTGACAGCACCCAAATTTGAACTTGATCTGTGGTAAGAAGCTTTGTGTATAAGTTTCATAACAATTGGTCAAGGGAATCTAAAGTTAGAGAACAGAAACCAATTTTGGGACATACAGACAGACATACAGAAAGACAAAGATAAACCTTAATGCCCCCTCTGCTACTGTGGGGGCATAAAAAATGAATATGAAATACTGTTTTTACTGAATAAAAATGTCAGTAGCTTGAGTGCTCCTTTCAATCAGAGAAAATTTGCAAAGAATTTTACATGATTACAACTATTGTAACATTGATATTTCTGCCTCAACAAATGAGACAAGTTGTTGTATATATCAGTCAGAGCTCTGACATAAACAAGTCAGAACAAAATGACTTCCATAGGTCAGATATAATTTGATGTAAGTGTTGTCTCCCTTCTTGCACTCAACAGAATATGACTTGTACAGGTCAGTTTATGTCAGACTTTAATTTATCATAAAATGACTTCCACAGGTCAGCTTTTGCACAAAATATTGTGACTTAATATCTTCATATTCTAATAAGATTTATGCCCCTTTTTAATGCATTATGAGATTAGAGGTCATTTTTGTTCTGATCTGAAGCAGTCATTACTACCACTTTGTTATCAATCTCCATAAAAATATGGTGATTACTAGTTTCGAATTAAAGAGTTTTAAAAAGTGGGGCTCATCTGACATCATACCTTCTCCTTTCCAGAATCTAAACATAATATATTTATCTCATCACTTTCAATTATTTCAAAATACAAAGAAAAATCAGGTGAGAAAAAATGGATCATACAATTTTCTGAATATCAAAAGATTTACAAAATACAATATTGGAAACATTTACTGCTACCATGACAATACTTCAAATCTTCCAAGGAAAAACAAGACACTTATTCATGATAAGACTATGTTAATAAAAGATATATTCTCATCCACATTAAGCTAAATTTATTAAGAGCAAAACATTTATTATTTTAATATTTCATTGAGGTAAATACTGTTGAGCAAACTGACTCAAACAAGTCACATTATGTTCTGACTTCAAAGAGTCAGTCATACTAAATGTATTACAAGTTTTAAGTCTAGTATTGTCATATTGATTTAATAATGTATAGGTAAGCCAGATAAAAGACTGAGGAAATAAGGTCCCCATAAGTCACAATAATGAGGACTATAAAAAAGTTTATTTGGTATATTCAATATTAAATGTATTTTGTTTTAAACAGGTCAAATCATGTTCTGACTTAAAAGAGTCAGTCCAAAACTTAAATAAATTTATTGAAATATTTAAGCCGGGCATTGCCATATGATATTAAATGAATGTATGGGAACGTCAGATAAAAGACCCAGGAAATATATGTTAAGATCCCCTAAAATAAATAATCATTTGACTTAATTGTTTCTTAAAATTTATCAAATAATAAACTCGAAAATGGCAGATTCAGAAGCAGTCTGAAAGCAAGGACTTTCTTGGATTAAAGGAAGTACACCTAGCTTTAATTGGAAATTTTGTTCTGTAAACTGACTTTAACAGGTCAAATCATGTTCTGACCTCAAAGAATCACTCAAAACTAAACTTATTACAACTTTTAAGTCTAGTATTGTCATATTGATTTAAAAATGTATGGGAGAGCCAGATAAAAAACAGAGGAAATAAGGTCCCCTAAAGTCACAATAATGAGGATTATATAAAAAAGTTTATTTGGTATATTCAATATTTAAATGTATTTTGTTTTAATCAGGTCAAATTATGTTCTGACTTCAAAGAGTCAGTCAAAAACTATACTTTAACTAATTATTGCAACTTCTAAGTCTGGCATGGTTATATGCATTTAAGAATGTATGGGAAAAAACAGATAAAAGGCACCCAATAATAAAGTCACAATAATGAGGACTATAAAAAAGTTTGTTTGGTATATGTAATATTCAAATACATTTTGTTTACAAGTTTCATCAAATTATCTTAAAATGTTATTCTATTTCTGTATTTTCATGACTTTTCTTTTCTGTTAAGTTAACACATGGAACTTTTGGTTGTAAAAAATATTATTTTGAAGACCATTTGACTGAATTGTTTCTAAAAAAAACTTATCAATTAACATGATTAATTAACTCAACAGTAGCAGATTCAGATAAAGGGAAAAAGGGGGGGCTTAGAGGAAGAAGACCTAGTTTTGATTGGAAATTTTGTTCTGTAAACTGACTTTAACAGGTCAAATCATGTTCTGACTTCAAAGAGTCAAACAAAACTAAACTAATTTCAACTTTTAAGTCTAGGATTTTCATATTGATTTTAAAATGTATGGGAAAACCAGATAAAAGCCAGATG